TCTGGTGAGGCTGATGGAGGGTGTGGACGTGTGTGTGTCAGTGTGGACTCTGGTGAGGCTGATGGAGGGTGTAGACGCGTGTGTGTCTTAGTTCTTGCGGATTCTGGGGCCTGCTCCAGGCATTGGACCCACAGTGACCAGCCGGCCTCGTCCAGGAGGGTTCCACGTGCCATCAGGAGAAGGGCAGGGCACAAACGCAGACGCCGACACCGGACGGGAACCTTCTGAGGAAAGACAGGCAGGCCCGGACCTGCCGCACCAGTGCAAGGGAGACCCCAGGGCCAGCGGGACCCCTAGACTGGGTTGGACGGACCCCAGCAGGGGCCCAGGTGGTGGTTTGGGGGTATGGTCCGGGTAGAGGTGGAAGGGGGTGGAAAGGCATGCCAGCCCCTCTGCCATCTCCCACCTGCCCTGGAGGCGGCAGCAGCAAGGCTGCCCTGAGCCTGCAGTGCTGAGCTGGCCCCTCCCTTTCAGCACTGTGTCCCCACGCGGCCACGCAGCAGCGCCTGGCAGCCCTGCGGCACCTGTGCCACAAGCGGTTTGTGGAGGTTCGTGAGCAGGAGGGGGCTGGCAGGCTGCGATCGTGGCCTGAGCCACAGACTTTGGTCTGGGATACTCACTGTGCACCACGGGGTGCAGGGGTGTCCCGAGAGGGGCCACGTCTCGCCCCAGAGCTGGAAAACTGGGCCAGGCCTGGGGGAAGGGAGGCCCCGGGTCCCAGCCCTGGGCTGTGGCACCGGGGTGGGCCAGCGTCTGAGCTGTGTGAGGGCAAGGAGGGCTCCCACCAAGCCCCTGTTCAGCCTCTGGAGCCGCCTGGAAACCGCCTCCCTCCCCTGTTTGCCTTTACAGAAGAGCCTGTCTCAGGAGAACTGGGCTGACCACGTGCAAGTGAGTCCGTGCCCTGCCCCGTGGGGCTGCAGAGCACTGGGCAGCTGTCTGGGGGGCATAGGCCCGGAGCCTCCGGGCAAAAGCGGGCAGACTGAGGCCTTTGTTGGGGCCGCTGACCCCAGACCCTGTGTTAGGGCATGTGCCTGGCAGGCAGGTGCGGGGTCCCTGGGCCGGGCAGCCCGCTCGGAAGCAGAGGGCCTTGGGGGAGCCTGGCTGGGCCTCGTTCCAGGCAGATGGCAGCGTCCGTGCCACCTAAACCGGCCGGCGGAGCTGCCTGTGCGGCTGGGTGGGGGCCAAGAGTCCCCGGAGAGGTGTGGGGCCTGGGCGAGGCCAGAAGGAGGAAGGCCAGGCCCCCCCGGTGCCAGCACAGAGCCGGCCGGAAGGGCAGCGGACGTCCTGAAGAATGCGGGCGGCTTCCACGTATTGTCGTCCACGTGGGAACCCACGCCAGGGATGCAGCCTCGGGCTGCTGGGCCTGAAGCCAGTGAGGCAGGCGGACCCTCCTTGAGGCTGTGGGTGGGAGGTCGTCTGGGAGCTCCGCCTCCCAGATGGGTCCCCCCCTTCCCACCTGACACTCAGGCCACCCTGGACCCACGGACTCCAGGACCTTGCTGGGAGGGAGACCCTCGGAGCTTGTGCTGGGTCCTGGATTTCCTGGCAGGGGCTAAGGGCCCAGCAGGCCTGTGGGTGCCTCTGTTCCCAGGCTGGCACTGCCACAGGCACTGCAGGGTGGGCGAGAGCTCACCCTGGCGAGGACGAGGCTTCTCGGGACCCCCTTGGTCACTGCCGCCTGGAGGCCACCCCTCTGTCTCCTCCCGGGCCGTGGGTGAATGGGCGTCCCTGACCTTCTGAGCCCGGCCAGCCAAACCCCACAAAGTGAGGAGGACGAGGGGAAGGGGCAGAGGGGCTCCCCTGGCAAGAAGAGGATCGTTGCATGGGGCAGGTTAGGCAGGTACTCCAGAAAACCCCCCCAGGCTCCTGGGACCTGGGGTGCAGGTGGAAGCCTGGTGACAGCAGGAGGGCTAACGGAGGCCGGGAGGGTCAGCGGAGGCCTGGAGGCCGGGAGGGTCAGCAGAGGCCGGGAGGCCGGGAGGGTCAGCGGAGGCCGGGAGGGTCAGCGGAGGCAGGGAGGCAGGGAGGGTCAGTGGAGGCTGGGAGGCCGGGAGGGTCAGTGGAGGCCGGGAGGCTGGGTCAGTGGAGGCCGGGAGACTGGGTCAGTGGAGGCTGGGAGGCCAGGAGGGGCTGGCCGGGGCTGAGCTGCAGTGGACAGCCTTTGCCTCAGTGCCTCCATCTCAGCTGCTTCGGTCCTGTGGAACCAACCCAGGGCCTCAGGCGGGATGGGCACTGCAGGCCTTGGGTGGACAGCCGCCCCTCCTCCCAGAGTCCTCAGAGCCTGTGAGGTCGGGGTCTTTGGGAGTCCCTCAGGGCAGAGCCATGTCCCCGTCCCCATCCTCACGGACCCTCCTCACAGGGCCTCGTGGGACACAGCCCGTGGCTTCAGGAGCAGCTGTCTCAGCTGCTGACCTCCCTCGGTGACCCAGGCACAGCCGCCAGGTGCGCCCTGAACCTCCTGCTGCCCGAGGACCAGCTGCCAGCCACAGTGGCTGCAGAGCTCAGCCGGCTCCAGCTCCAGGGGAGGTGAGCACCCCAGGGTGACCCCAGCCAGGGGTGGGTTCTGCCCAGGATGGCCCCTGCCCTTGGGACAGCAGCTCACCAATCTGCACACCAATGGCTTGAGAATCAGAAACCAAGAGAGAACAAAGCATACCTGTGCATGGAGCAGAGAAGACAGCAGGGCCGGCCGTCGCAGCTGCTGCCGCCCACGGACCCTGCAGCCACGGCCACGGCCGGGCCAACCCACGCAGGGGTCTGAGGAGCAGGCTGCCCGAGGGTCTGGGGGGCAGTCACCTGGAAGGAGGGGCAGGAGCAGGGGTCGTGCTGGGGCCTGGACTGAGCCTGTGTGGGAGGAGGAGCCAGGACTCCAGACGCCCCCACCACACAGGCCCCGAGCATTCCCCTCCAGCCCTGCGGTCAGAGTGGGTGGGGACCAGGGACCCAGGGACATGGGGACGCCACCAGCTCTGCTCCTCCCAGGGCGGCTGACGCTGACTCGAGGCCCAACGTGAAGGACATGAAGGACCAGCACTACCAGCTGCCCATCCCCAGGGAGAACGTCTACCTCCTGGCCTCTCGAGAAGACCTCGCCAGACACGAGGGTGCCCTCCTGCAGGTCAGGGGCAGCGCCCGGTGGCAGGACTCCCTGCCAAGAACTGGAGGAGACTCAGGGGCACGGCATTTGGAGGGAAGCACAGCCTCTAGGCAGGGACCCACCAGGCGCCCCAGAGCTGCTGTGAGGGCAGCCGTTCCCCATGCTGTGCGTTGGTGATGCTCCGGGCTGCTGGGTGCTGGCCTTCACCTGGGCCTCCTGCCAGCCTGAGGAAGCTGCCGTGGGATCCCCATTTTACAGATGGGGCCCCAAGATGTGGGGTGGGTCCCTGACATGGGCACTGCCGTTGGCACTAGGCCAGGCTCTTGCTCACAACAGCCAGGCCTCCCCTCTCTGATCCAGCCATAGAAAGCTGGCCTTAGTGTCCCCAACAGCCCCAGCCCCAAACGTGCAGGGTGGCGTCTCCCCAAAGCCGGGGCTCACAGAGCTTTTCAGCCCTCCAGGCTGCAGTCCCTGCAGAGCCAAGCTGGCCCCGACGCTCACAGATGCTCATCTCTGCCCGCAGCCCCAGCAGGTGGTTGGTGTGGACCTGGAGTGGACACCAGTGTTCGTTGCTGGGGGCCGGCCCCGGCCATCACTCCTGCAAGTGGCCATGGAGGGCCGCGTGTTCCTTTTTGACATTCTGGCACTCACGCAGCCGCCAGCAGGACAGGGAGCCCAGGCCTTCTCCCAGCTGGTGGCCCAGCTCCTCTCGGACCCGTCCATCACCAAGCTGGGTAAGTGAAGCCCTGGGGCCCCCTGCCAGTCCAGAAGGGAAGCAGCCCGCACCTCTGACTGACCCTTTCCTCCGTGCGCCCGGGGAGGGTGCTGGGCAGCCCTGGGGTCAGGGGAGACAGTGCCATCCCTCCCACCCTTTCCTCCATGCGCCCAGGGAGGGGTGCTGGGTGCACCTGGGGTCTGGTGCCCCTCCCACGATGGTTCCTGCCCACAGGCTATGGGATGGCGGGGGACCTGCAGAAACTGGGCACGTCCTGCCCTGCCCTGGCCCACGTGGAGAAGCAGGTTCTGGGTGGCATGGACCTGCTGCTGGTGCACAGACAGGTGGGCGCCACTGCCATGATCTGCTCACACAATGCCTGGGTGGGCCTGGAGCTTGAGGGCTGTTTGAGGCCCCTCCCCCACGGCCCTGCGCTTCTCCTGCTGGGTTCCTGTCAGCTCAGCCTCAGTCATCAGGGCCCCGGAGCAGGGCCTGGCAGAAGTGGGTCTGGCGTTCCCAGGGAAGGAGAGGAGCCTCCTCGCATGGGCATCCCTGAGCTCCTGTGGGCCCCTCATCTGGCGTGAGGGCACCTTCCTGGGACCAGTGCCCCAAGTTCCACTCGGAGCGGCTCTGGGCGGGAGCCCCTAGGGGTGAAGGTGTGAACCCCAGAGCTGTCCGTAGGTGCAGCATCTGCAGCCTGCAACCCCGACATGGAGCCTGTCCTTAGCTGTGTTTGCTCCTTCTCCCTGTCTCTGCTGCACCGGCCACTGGCGGAGTGGACAGAGCCTCCTCCTGAGCCGCCATGAGGCCGGTGTGAGTGGGCGTGGCAGGCCATCCTCCTCCAGGGCCCCCACGTGGCTGGTGTGAGTGGGCGTGGTGGGCCGTCCTCCTCCAGAGCCAGGTGCATCACCTGTGGATGCTGTCTTAGCAGATGCGTGTGGCAGGCATGCCAACCCCAGGCGTGGACAGGGCTAGTGGGCTGAGAGGCCTGAGCCTCCTAGTGCAGCAGGTGCTGGGCACGACCCTGGACAAGACACAGCAGCTGTCCAACTGGGACCGGAGGCCGCTCTGCGAGGAGCAGCTCATCTACGCAGGTGTGTGGGGCAGCAGGTGGCGGTGACCCCTCCTCACACCGCACGGCTCTCCTGCCAGCTGCCCTGGAGGCTGAGGTCAACTCCCCACAGCTGCTGATGCCTACTGCCTGCTGGAGGTGCACCAAGCCCTGTGCAGAGAGCCCGCCCGCTTCCACCTGTCGGGGGACCTGGCTGGGAGCCAGAGGCCCAGGCACAGAGAGAGACCAGGGACACAGGAGCCGCCCGGCCTGCGGGAGGCGTCGGCGTCACCCAGGCAGGTGCGTGAAGCCCCGCAGGGTCCCTGTGTCAGGATTCTTGGGGAAGGAGGTGTCTGTCCATAAACCAAGGACCTGCATGGAGACAAGGTCGCTGGGTCGAGCGTGTGGAGGGGACTCAGCTCCCTGGCCCTGGACCCCTGCCCCCTGCAGGGAGATGGAGCAGAGTCCTGCTGAACTTCCTGCATGACTGTCGTGGGGACCGCCCTTTACTGGGGGCCACTGCTCAGGCAGAATGCCCTCCTGACACTGGGCCTCGCAGGGCGGCATCTAGGCCCCTCCCCGTGACTCCCACCAACTCTAGGCCACACACATACCCCGACACACATATGGTGGCCCCCCCAATGTGAGCACTAGAGCTCCCTGGGGTGGTTTCGTTTCATTTGTCTGCATTTCTGCTGGGCGGGTGACAGTGAGGCTGTGAGGGGCCGGGTGGGTGACCGCGGAGCTGCTGACCGGGCCCTCACTGCAGGTCCCTGTGGCCGTGGCTGAGGCCACCATCCCTCGGGTCCCTGCCAGGACCTTCCGTGTGGTGTGTGACAACATGCTACAGGGGCTGGCACGGAGCCTCCGCTGTCTGGGTGTGGACGCGCACGTGCTGGGCAGCAGTGAGGACCACCGCAGGGCAGCCGAGGTGAGCATGGGAAGGGGCTTGGGGTCCTCCCTGGGAGCAGCTGCCCCTGCCACAGGTGTGCCCACCTCCAGCACCAAAGCCCACCCTCCAGCTCATGCACGGCTGCCAGCTGTGCCAGGCAGGCTCTGGGAACAGGACGGCCAAGGATGGAGCCGTTGGGGGCCAAGGGTGTGAGATGGTCCCAGCCTCAGCCTCATTATCCTGCAAAAGCAATTTACAGATCATGTAATTAAGACTACGAATCAGTTGACCTTAAGCGAGAGAGACTATCTTATTTGGGTGGGCCCAGGGTCACCACATGAGCCCTTTAAGGCAGGAATGGGGCCGGGCGCAGTGACTCACACCTGTAATCCCAGCACCTTGGGAGGCCAAGGCCAGTGGATCACTTGAGGCCAGGAGTTCAAGACCAGCCTGGCTAATATGGCAAAACCCCATCTCTACTAAAAATACAAAAATTAGCAGGGCGTGGTGGTGGGCGCCGGTAATATCAGCTACTTGGGAGGCTGAGGAAGGAGAATCACCTGAGCCCCAGAGGCAGGGTTGCAGTGAGCCCAGACCACACCACTGCACTCCAGCCTGGCTGACAGAGCAAGATTGCATCTAAAAAAAAAAAAGAAGGAATGGCACACAGAAGAGGCAGAAGAAGACAGAGAGTCAAAGCACAGGAAGGACTCCGTGTCCCATTGTTGGCTTGAAGATGGAGGAGGCCACACCAGGAAGCCTCAGTCCAGCGGCCATGAGCAGCTGGATTCTGCTAACACCTGACCAAGCCCAGAAGCCTCACAGGAGAGCCCAGCCACTCAGCTCTGTGACTTCAGCCACGAGACCCTGAGCAGAGAACCAGCCACCCGCTCTGTGATTTCAGCCACGGGACCCTGGGCAGAGAAACTAGTTCAATCCCCCAGACTTCTGGACTCCCGCAAAACTGTTTTAAGCTGCTAAGCTTTTAGTGAATTGTTAACAGCAGGATTAGAAAAATAACATGGACTGTGGTACGAGGAGCCGGGTGCTGGTGTGACAAACAGCTAAAAATATGGAAGTAGCGGCCAGGTGCGGTGGCTCACGCCTGTAATCCCAGCAGTTTGGGAGGCCGAGGCAGGTGGATCATGAGGACAGGAGTTCGAGACCAGCCTGGCCAACATGGTGAAAATTAGCCAGGCCTGGTGGTGGAGGGCACCTGTAATCCCAGCTACTCGAAGGCTGAGGCAGGAGAATCGCTTGAACCCGGGTGGCGGAGGTGGCGGTGAGCTGAGACTGCGCCACTGCGCTCCAGCCTGGTGACAGAATGAGACTCCATTTCAAAAACATAAATAAATAAATGTGGAAGTAGCTTTAGAATCAGGTAGTGAGTGGGTGGCAGAGTCCTGAGGATCACACAGGGAAAGCCAAGATGACCCTGAAACAGACAGCAGAAATACGGCGTGAAAAGTCCCAAAGGTTAGGGATGGAGGCGGGTGAAGCGAGATGCCCAGACCTCAGCCGAAGTGTGAGGGTGTCAGACCAAAGCCAGGCTGACCAGTTTTCTCCCTCAGGGGCGTAAGAAGTGGGTGAGGTGGTATTTATTCTTCATAACAAATCGGAGAGGTGGAGAATCCATCTTGAACCTTCTATTCGTTTCAATACTAGTTATGGGAAATCTTACCCATAGATTTTCCTAATTTCTTTTATTCCTTCTATTTTTTTCCATCAGTAAGGAGTCAAATATTTTTCTAATTGCTTTCATTTTATTTTATTTATTTATTCATTTATTTTGAGACGGAGTCTCACTCTGTCACCCAGGCTGGAGTGCAGTGGGGCAATCTCGGCTCACCGCAACCTTTGCCTCCCGGGTTCAAGCGATTCTCCTGCCTCAGCCTCCAGAGTAGCTGGGACTACAGGCGCCTGCCACCACATCTGGCTAATTTTTGTATTTTTAGTAGAGACAGGTTTCACCATGTTGGCCAGGCTGGTCTTGAACTCCTGATTTTAGGCGATGCGCCCACCTCGGCCTCCCGAAGTGCTGGGATGACAGGCAGAGCCTCCGCGCCTGGCAGGGTCTTTCCAAATCGTGTTTTCTGCGAAGACTCCTGAGTAGATTAGTTCATTGTTTCATGTAAGGATTATACCTTGAGTTTCATTTTTCATACCTTCAAAAGGAGCACTACTAATAAATTTACAAGCATTTTTTAAAAAGAAAAGGAATGCACTCCCAGCAAGAGCCCAGAGGGTGTGAGGAGCATGCCCTGACCCCCTGGGCAAACGTGGGGCTGTGTCCTGCTGGCGCACAGAAGAACCTGGATGTGGAGCTGAGGAGACCTCCAGGCAGCGTGGACGGTGCAGCCTGGTCTCTCCTTGCTGCTTATGGTGACGTGAGTGGAAAGAGAGACTGAGGGGAGAGCTTTTAAACAGAAAGGAACTAGGACTCGATGATCTGGGAAGCTCTCAGCCTGCCCAGGTGGCAAAGGCTTCCGACAGCGTGACCTGACAAGCTGCGTGTGCGGCCGAACACACAGTCAGTCTTCGAAAGCAAACCCAAGGCTTCAGAAAGCCCAGGGCATCAGCCCTCGGCCTCCTCCACAGACCCTGAATTGACCAGGAAACGTGCCAGTGATGCTCCACGCCACTCACCATCTTCCCGGACGTGGGTGGTCAGCCACTGCAAGCACGGAGGCCGGTTCTTCCCAGTCAGTCTCAATGTTCCTCTCCTGCTGGCTTCTTCTCTGCATCAGCCCAGCTGACCAATTTTGGGCTGGAGGTGGTCGCAGAGAAAAGTCGCACAGATGAGTCGTCTGCACCGGTTCTGGGACGCCTGGAATTGGTTCCGTGATACTATTACATTTAGGGACACAAAGGGCCCAGTTTCCAGCAGCAAAGAGGGCACAGTAGTCCACGGTGAGATGTTGTAAAATTATTCAGATACTGCCATGGGATGGCCTAGAGAAGGAGAGATTCTGAGGGACCAGGTATTTGCTACTTCAGAGCACTGCGGTCCAGCCGCTGGGAACAGTGGACCGGCGGGGTGCTGCCAACCGCTGGAGAACGGGGGAAGAGGGCCGGCCAGCTCAGGCGTCACGCTCCCAGCTGCAGCTCCGCGTGGAGGACCTGCAGGCGTCGGCGCTTATCCCCCGTAGCTGCAGAATTAAAACAGCTGAAAACCATGCCTAGCGTTTCATGCTGAGAGCAGCTGAATTACAACAGAAATTATGTCCACAATTGATGTTATTAATCTCTGTCCACGAGCCGGTCCTGCCCACGTCACGTGAGCTTCCGTTGTCTCTGAACCTGCCTTTCTCTGATGACGGATGAAGCTGAGCATCTTCCCAGACGCTCCGTGGCTATTCACACATTCTGCTCCGTGGAACGCCTCGTGGCTGCCCTAAGAAAGGCCTGCCTGCGAGGCGGGGAGCGGCTGGGAATCAGCTCCCGGACTGACGGAAACCTTCCCGAAACGATGACGGTGGCTTCATCCTCACAAACACTGCGGCTTATGCTGGACGTCACTTTCCATCCAGGACTCCGGAATTTCGGTACATGCCAGGCAGAGGGTATGGATGTGACCACCCCCCAGTAACAGCCTCAGGCGATGAGTCACCAACAAACTTTTCAGGCAGACAACGCTTCACACGTGTCATTACGGCTCGTTGCAGAAGCGCACCGCGCGTGACTCGCCTGGAAGGCTCTCGGGTGCCTGAGCCTGGCTTCCTCAGGCTGTGCCCCGTCTGTACGCCTCTTTCCTTTGCTACATGGCTGTGTACTGTTCCCTGAAGCGCGTCTCAGAGCGTGGCGTGTGCTGTGTCCTGTGAGTGGCCGTGAGTCAGTGTCACTCTTACCTCCTGTAGCTGCAGGGGACTTAGTGACACTAAACCTCAGGTGATCTTGGGGACCCTCATGCCTGGTCGTCTTTTTCTTTCTAAGAGACAGGGTCTCATTTGTCTGGCTAGAGTACAGTGGTGGGGTCATAGCTGACTGCACCCTCAAAATCCTAGGTTCAAGCAATCCTCGCACCTCAGCCTCCTGGGTAGCTGGGAGCACGGGCACATGCCACCATACCCAGCTAATTTTTTAATTTTTTGTGGAAACAGGATCTCACTGTGTTGCCCAGGCTGGTCTTGAACTCCTGGCCTGGAGCGATTCTCCTGCCTCAGCCTCCCAAAGTGCTGGGATTCCAGGTGTGAGCCCCTGCGCCTGGCCCTGAGTTTTACATGACGTCACACTGCCCAGATTCCTCTAGCATTACCACCCATCTTCATGTCTGGTAGGGTGAGCACCCACCTTGTCCTCCAGCCCTTTGCCCTTTCTGTATAGGTTCAGAAACAGCTCGGCTGGGCGCGGTGGCTCAAGCCTGTAGTCCCAGCGCTTTGGGAGGCCGAGGCGGGTGGATCACGAGGTCAAGAGATCGAGACCATCCTGGTCAACATGGTGAAACCCCGTCTCTACTAAAA